AACTCTGGTGCCGTGTCACATATAGAAATTTTTTGATATTTGCAACCATAGTAAAACAAAGACTTATATTTTTGATATTCATTTTGTATATTTAAATGCCATTTAACAAAGAAAAATCAACCAAAAAATGAGTTCGCGTGTCACCTCTGACATGCGTGTCCTAGGTTTGCCCTCCATGCCCTAGGTTATAGTGAATATGAACTGTTATGCTGGATTCTACTAGCATAGATCCTGTTTGCAGGAAGTAAATCTGAGCATGACCTCGGCAGTTCAAAAATGAATCAAAATTAGTAAATTCCATGAACAGCTAATAATTTGCCTAAACATTCTACCCAATAATCATTTCCCCTTTCACATAAAGGGTAGGAACAGTCTATCAAGCTCATTTTGAATGTATTCCTATTGTACTTTCCTATTAAAGTAAGATATGCACATAGACTGTGATAAAAACTTACTCCAAGCCTGCTTATGTGGAAAATCAGCTTAGGCTTAGATTGAGTCCTTATGTCCTTTTGCTGGCAATACTTTTTTTAAAAAAAATCTGTATCTAGCTCCCACTATAGACCCTCTGAAAAAGGAGAAAACATTCTCAGAAAAAGCTACAAAATCATCTCAAATATTTCAACTGTTCTAAATGACTTTCAAATCATAGTAAACCATGGATGTTTCATTTACCAGAAAGTAATTTAGTTTCTAAGTACCTTCAACTAAATCTTCCCTAGAGAAAATTCAGCTATAGCTGATAATTGATAATACAACAATATCCCTGATTTCTATAGGATCTATTTCTATTAGTTAACAATAAAAGCCTAGATTTTACAAGTTTTAAAAATCATATTGCAGAAAAAGGAGTCCGTGAAAAATGAACCCTTCCCCCCAGTTTGTTTAAATTAATGCTATTTCATTTTACTAGATTTACACAGAGTAAAAAATAATTCTTAATGTTTTAAAATACTGATGAGACGAGATCCATATATTATGTACAGAGGGCTTTGGAAGCTAACATATTCTGCTTTAAGTGAATACAATTTCAAGTGTCAATGATAATCTTCTCTAATGGTTAACATTAGTCTTTTAAAACTTTCTCTATACATAATATTTCCTTATATCCACTTCTACATAATAATAACTCAACTTTTACTTAGTATTTTTTCTTTCTGGATTGCTAATTTCATCAGCCATAGGCATAATCTAACCTCAGAAACTAATAATTAGTTTGTTTTTCTCTCATATGCAGTTATTATTTAGGGTGAAATAACTATACTTAATATCAAATAAACAATTAAGGTAATTCCTGTATTAAAAGATTTTCTTTGTTTGATACCCTTCATCAGTACAATTTCCTCAGAGGTATCCTTAGTGGTCAGAGGTATGCGAAGTGGCATTAATCAAGCAAATTCATGACTGTATATCATGACCAATTCTGTTAGAAATGATCACTCTGCAGTTTCCTATCTCCTTGGGAGAAACCAACAACCTCAAAGGAGCTATCAGATTCTAAGTACCATCTAGGACAAAGACTAGTCTGAGGACCATAAGAATAATGGTGTGGTGTGGTGTGGTCATGGGAGGAAAACTACTCCATGAGATCACAATCTTTTTCACCATTTAACAATTCAGCCCTTAGCAAGGGTTTTGAAGAAAAGCAAACAAGGTCAGGATCCTTTCCAAAACCAGATAAATAGCTGATGGTTAACATTTATTAAGGGCTTGCTATTTGTCTGGCAGTATAGTGGATGGATTATCTCATTCCATGTTCTTAAGAACTCCCTATGAAGTGGGTAGTATCATCTTCAAATCTTAAAGATGAGGCAACTAAAGCTTACAGAGTTTAGGCAACCTACCCAAGGTTCATGGGAACCAGAAAATAGCAGATGGAATTTGAGCCAAGTAACCAGAGCCTGACTATCACCTCCAACCTAAATCTCCCAAGAGGGAAGAAATATGACACACTAAAACACCAACACATCTTTATATGTATCTAGACATCCATGTAATGTCAAATACTGCCCTCCAATATCCTGGGGCTCTTAATAGCTTAGAAAGAAATTTTGTTTCTTCCTTATTCCCTGTAGAAAATAAACAACTCAATGTGGCGGGGGAGGGGAGGGGCAGGAAAAAAGTTGAATATATAGAAGAAAATGTAAACAACATATTTTATGAAATAACTAGGGGCCCGGTGCACGAAATTCGTGCACTGGGTGTGTGTGTGTGGGGGGGGAGTGTCCCTCAGCCCAGCTTGCCCCCTCTCATATAC